CTTGGCTTTACTTCGGCAATTTTTATCAATTTCCAGCATTTGAAACAGATAGCCATCTGACTTTTATGGATACTAGGCCTACGATAGCCAAAGTGATCTTCATATAAATTACCATTACCATAGAATGTTTTGGATTCTACTTGCCCGAATAAAGCGAAAAAGCTGTATACATGATATAAACTATATTCTCTAGAAGAAAGCAACTCTTGTAAAGGAATTCTTACATGATTAGCCCATTGCTGAAGTGTTTCATGGGGTCTAATGATAGATAAATAATCATATTGCTTTTCTATTTCAGCTACTTCTTTAATCCGTTCGTTTAAACCTCCGTTATAATAGTTAGCAACATGTTTCATATCATATTCAGGACGGAGATTGACAGGTTTAGGTACGGCTTTATTATAAATATTATCTAAAACGATCTTAACCATTAATCCAGGCATTTTAATAATTATGTGATTGTGAACAATAAATAAGACTTATAGAAATTTTAGTGATATTTAGCGTTTTTAGTGAATATTTAGTGTTATAGTAGTTTGTAGTAAGTATATTATAATAAAATATCAGATTCATTTTTTTTTATTCGATTACAAGCATATCGAGGGTTTATATAAGGTCTAAATTATTTCAGATCCAAATATCAGAGGTGTATGACGTATATCGTATCACAGGTATCACCCTCTACTACAGTTCCCAGTGGTTTCTCAAATCACAGGATGATCAGCTAGCACTTGACATGTCGATCAATTTTACCAGCGCCAAGAAAAAGTGTTGGCGTTAGTATCACATGTATTATAGATGCAGTAGATTATACTATATATATTATTTGTATCACTTGTGAATACATATGCAGTTTAAAAATCAATCAAAATTCTTTATTATATTTTTTATAAAGTATTACATGAGAAAAGGCCGGTAGAAATATACCACAAAAACTAAGATCTCTATGATATAATCAAATATAAAATATACTATATGTGATACAAATGAACTTATATATAATATATGATCACATGAGATTTAGATCTTGAGATATGAAGATGTCATCCAAATTATCTTCTTCGCTTGAGCCTAAGTTAATAAAAGCATTTAGCTATAATCTTTATGTTACGTTAAAAACCTAGCATTGAGATATTAAAACATTTACTTGTAAAAGAGGACGAATCATTAGAGCCAGATACGGGAGTGATATTTAGAATATGCGGGGCTAGGATTCTCAAATATTCTTCAAGGTGGTCAAGTTTTTCACGGATGGTAAGGATCTCATCATTTGATCTAGTATGCCTATTAAGTTGTTCACTAAAGCGAGCTACATTTGCTATAAAATTATCATATTGCTCATTATTTACTGTCCAAACACGCCCTTCGATTTCAAGAAGCTTATCGTATAATGCTAGCATGTTTTCATGGTTCTCAGCATTAACTTCGTTGAACTTTTTGGTCAGATACGTTTTGATTTCATCATATTTCTGAGTATTCTTCTTATCCAAATCCGTTTTCATATCATAGAGTTGCTCAGAAATAGCATCTGTAGTCGCTCCTATGTTTTCTAAATTAAAATTGATATCTTTAAAATTGATATCGCGAAACTTCTTGTTAAGAATTAGTTCCAAATGGTTTTGAGTCACCAAAGCAATCATGGTGTCTCGTTTGTCGGCATCATTAACAAGTTGGTGTCTAGCAACACGTAAGATGTGCCAGATAATAGTGAAAATGGATCCAATGAAGATTAAAACATAAATCACTTCAGAAGTATTGAACAAGACTTGAATACTTTGCATTCCCATCTATGAATAAATGATGTGATTAGATATAGTTATTGCAGGGAAAGGGAAAATTAATACATTACCATATTCTTGAATAATTTCGTTTTATTGGTTTACACGATAGTAGATTTTATTTTTTCTTGCGCAAAGCAGATAAAAAAATCCAACCAGATGATTTCGCACTGCTTTTATAGGTTTTGGGTCTCTTACGACGCAGAACAACTTCTCATTACGATAATTTTAATAACACTGTAGAGTATTAGAATAATTTCATTACATCATAACAGATTATGCCTAGTCGCAAAAAAAAAATCAAAAAAAAACACCACAGTATTAATATGTAAATTTGTTATGGGAAATGTTAATTGACGATTTATACAGTATATGGTATAGCCCAGACAACATGTGACACCCAACGGACACCCGAAGGATGTCATGTGTAATATAGTCGAATTTTTTTTTTAAAAATAGAATTATGTTTTTATTAAGGTTGACCTGGCCAAGTCAATACATAATTGTATAAATCTTATGTGGAGTAACCCGAATTCAAGAACCAGGTTTCTTAGTCATATTTACTCCACAATTCCTGTCATTTAACGACAACTCGATATAATATTGCCTATATCTTCTCTCCTTAATTCTGAGAAAAATGAAACAGAAGAGGATATTCTATATATTTTATCTACACCAATTTCATTAAAAATTTCATAAATGACACGAGCCCTTTTTATCTTTCTGCGGACAGTAGACTGGTCGATGTTAGGAAAAAGACCTTCTACTTCACTATTAAGAGCCTCTCGTGCATTGTGGTCATTACCAGTCACTTGTACTAACATTCCATATCGATCCTCAAGTACTACCCCAAACCGGTAATTAGATGATACTGCTATATGATTAGCATTTCTTGCATTTGTTTCCGCATCCTCAGATTCAAGATATAAGTTGTAAATTCGTTCCAAAATCCCACTAGAACTCTCACCCTGCTGACTTTGTAAATCGGTAACTATAAAACTTTCGTTTTGAACTGTATTTAATTCCCGAATAATAAGTGGAACATTGCGTTCTAAATATTCTGTACGTCTATTTCGTCTAGATGGGGCTGATACACTTTCTCCAGATAAAAGAGCTGGTGAAGATACTGATGCTTCAGTTAAGTTTGTAGGTCTTGCAGAGCGAGTCGGGTTTCTGCGTCTTGTATTTTGGTTAAGAGAAGTGGTAGAAGAATCCGTTGTGTTTGGAATATGAGGGGTATTAGAAGAACTAGCGATATTTGATGATAATTCTATATTAATATTTGGAGAGATGAGAGGTATTTCTAGTGTAAGATCAGGATTAAAGTCAGTCTGAAAATTGGTAAGGGCATCATAATCTATCCACATGTCTTCATTCGAATACTCGATTTCTTCCACAGCTTGTATGCTTGACTCAGTCGTATTGACTGTATCTTCAGAATCACTATTTTCTATAGGCTCACGACAATTGGGGCAACGCTGTCTATGGGAATATTCCTTTATGAAACATTTGAAGTGTAATATATGCTTGCAAGGTAGCCTAACATACGTTTGCATTAAAGTAACTTCATTAAGGCAGATGCAACAAATAATACTTTCAGGTGGGTCAACATCATTGACAAGAAGTTGTGGAGCTTGTTCTAATAAAATTCTTAAAGCAATGCGAGCATCCTCTAAGAGTGATTCCATACTCAAAGAGAGACCTAATTGCGTTTTTTTTTTCATACCCTTCTTAAATACAAAATGAATGTAGTAACCCACCCCTTGTAAACGAAGATCGGAGGTCTAATACATAATTGTCTATTTGACCGAGATTTGCATCGTTGTACGTTCGCTAAAAAATTATTCCAATCACTAATCCGGATATATATGTGCCGAAATTTCACGTGAAATGTCTAACGAAGAATTTTTTTTATTAATACATGCGAAAATAAATAAATACAAAGTTCGGAATTGTACCCGTGATACTTATTTTTCAAACGATTCCCTCTATAGCCGGTCTTATTTTTAACCCATACTCTCAAAACTTTTATTCGGCCATGTTTTTATGTCACAGGCATATTTCTGAAATGGGGCCTTCTTCGGAATTATTATATAAAAAATTGGAAGAAGGCCCCATCTCAAAGTATGTATGATCTAAGTCTGTAAACTCTAGTATTGTATTCATACAGCTTCACACTTCCAACCAATAGAAGCGGATCTATAGGAGGCTTCAAGGGATAAAAGTCCGATTTGCCGTAACGAATTTGGAACGCGAATATCTCGTCAACCAATGACCCAATTTTGATGAAAATTGAACGACTGGATTCGGCGGGTTCTGAACTTCTATAATGTCAAATATCGTGAAATTCCGATCACTGGATGCAGAGTTATTCAGAAAATCGTAAAGCCAATTATTTTAGACATAACCACGAAAGAATTTCGGAGAGACCACATTGCCAAAGTGGCGTGTGAAATATTGGTGACCTGGCAACCTACAAAATACTAGTTTCCGGTTCTGGGAACCTAAAGGAGGTGAGAAATTAGTAGGTTGTTATGTAAGAATTCATAGCTACCCAGTGAATCCCAAAATGTATTATTAGTACTATATGAGTATTGAAACTTCATTCGTCTACGAAACCTGATCCAGAAGTCATAGAAACGCCAACTTAGTTCGTCCAGATGCAGAATATCGAGTGCTTCAAAACAAGCCAAAGCTTGAAGTATTTGGGTCACAGGAAGCCGGAATAGCTTTGGCAGTTGGGAAATTTTACTGTGCCACATCATGGATTAACAAATCGTAGATCGATTTTGCGTAACGTGATTGCGGAACCGTCCCACGCGGATAAATATATATCTCGTTAGAAGTGCTAAGACAAATATACACTCCTTTGGTAAAGACATTCAGGAGATAGCCTATCTTAATTGCTTTTTTAGTAAGAAAAAAAGCATGTATATAATAAAAATTCTTCTGCAGTTAAGGCTATGATCATCGCAAAACATGGAACAAATATAGTAACTCTGATGTCTATTAATTTGCTGATCCGGCTGAAACACATATAAGCACCGGTCAGCTAAAGGGGTTCTCCGAGAAGCTTCGCATAATTCAGTCTACAATCTACTTAATAATTCTCCTAACCAGATACTGGAGATATGATAGGACTCATCATTGGTGAGATTTTCCTTTCACATTTTCCATCACGATAATAATAACCTCTATCATAACCAACGTATCTATTATCATACCCATCATCATCATCCGATCCATATGGTATCTCTTCTTCAGAATCATTGTCGTGACTACAGTCACTATCATCATCTACTCTATTTGGTACCTTTGGCACCTCTTCATTCGCTTCGGAAGAAATTATGACGCTTTGATAGGAAAGAATTTTCGTAGCCTGTCCTTCATGTAAGGCATAGATTTTGTTCTGTGAGTTGGTACACATTGACGACTGTATAATAAAGTAAATGCTATTATAGGCATATATCTCTGATATACAAATGTTTGATAGTTAGCATAACGCCTTCATAGATTGTGACCACGAGCCATATGAGCATTTGGTACAGTAAGTCAGAATTGGTTTAATTATATCTCTCAAAATCTGTAGACGGTCACACTTGAGAAAAATTTTATACGGTATTTCACTTCACACTTTGTGATTGTTTATAGACCAATAAATAATACTGTATTTCGTATAATAAAACACGAATATAGTGGCATTGAACTTTTGAGACAAAATTTCCGATCATATGAATGTTTGTTAAACCTAATGTGAGCAAACTACAAAATACTTTATTTATTTCAGTGGCTTGCAGTACAAATAAAAACACTAATTACATAAGCAAATCGGTAATATATAATTGGTCACAAGAATGTCATGTGATATGACAACATTTAAGGTACATATTGTGAAAAACACGACATATGATTATTTACCAAATCACAACTTCCGTGTCCTTCTCTTGCTCAAGATATTTTCACATGAGACTTAATTTTTTCCACTTCCATCTTGATATTTTGGAGTTCACTACGAAAGCTTGCACTAAGATCTTCGATGAGTTCTTTTCGAAACTTATTTAGATCAAAGTCGGCTGGAGAGGTTTCTTCTGTAGATTTCTTACATAAATTTTCACCTACATCACCAGAATATTTAATAAGTTATTAATAAATATTCCTAAAACCATATTATAATATTTATGGTTACTTACTCTGATTATTAAGCTCCCTAGCAAAATTTGCAAGTCTCATGGCCGGTCCTATTTCTAATCCACACTCCCGGAAGTCTTGTTTATCCATTTTAATGAAGTCACAACCGGCAATTTCTTTTTCACGTAAAATTTTGAAATGGTTTTCGTTTAAGAACAAAACGTCTTGTTTTCGTAAAAAGTCGATTAATTTCTCGGTATCTTTCTTTTTAACTTTCTTGGCTAAATTATCTTCGGCAGAAGACTGTGATATGCGTTGTTCGTTACTGTCTGATGAAAAAAAAATTTTTTGAAATAGGCCCCATAGGAACAATTATTAAGTGCATGTTGATTCATATACTATCAGATAAATTATTACCATAATCAATTGTTTCCTGATTTTCATCTTCTACTCTCGCTTTTTTTTCCGAAGTTTCATCATTATCGTTGTCTGGAGAGTGGGGCTTATCAGACTTCCGCTTTAGAGCTATTATTTAGTATATTTATAAAAGTGCAAATTAATAACGATGTCTAAAAATAATTTGGAAGTTTAACATACATGTAAATTCGTTCGTCACTGCTCTGGTCACTGCACATATTCCGGTCATTAGGATCTCGCACTAATTGCATCCAATTGGAGGAAAGATTACACCCGGTTTTGGTATATAGATAAAATCAATTATATTACATACTTTATGAACTCTATTCTCAACAGCCAACTTTCCTAGCTTTACGGAGTGTTCTTGCCATAACTCGATGTTAACCTGGTCACTTTTACAGTTCTTCAAAAAGAAAAAAAAAGAAAAATATAGTAAATATTACAAATAATCTTATCATAGGCGATGAGTAGTTGGCAGACTGTAATTCAAGCAAAAAAAGCAAATTTTGCTATCAGCCCACTTCAAGCAAAAAAACATTTTGCCTTGTGCGATAAGTTCGCTCAACATAATTGTAGGACTCGGTTATAAATAATGCCAACGGAACTAACTATCAAGTATAATGCTATGCTACAGATGGACTGAAAGTCCCAGATGCAACATACTTCCCACTTCAGACAAAGAACATTTGTCTTGCGCGACAAGATCGCTCAACATAATTGCAGGGGACATGTATCATTGTTCTTGACATTGTGACATAACTAAGAATCTTTCTTAACTAGAACAAAAAAAATACTACCTTTAAAGATCTCTTCAAATCCACTGCCTTGTAATAATCCCGATCTTTTGGTGATAGTTCTTCAAGAATAATTCCCAGTTCAATTCCAAGAGCACTGTGCGCTTGCGCTTTAGACACTCCAGGTATACTATTAATATAGTAGATATCCCAATCACTCACGCTTCCCCACATGTGTGAACCGCGTTCCCAGTAATCTATGGAGAGAGACTTAAGTTTCTTCCTACTAGCGGTAATTATATAAGTCTGAAGTTCAGAAGTTTACCTGAATGATGGAGCTTTTTAAGAGATTCGAGTCGAGAAATGAAGACATCTTTATAGAAAAATGACGAGAAAAGTATTTTTTTCTTCACTTTTAAATGGTGTGACTGATGATCTAATCGGTCAAGATCACGTGTCATCTATTGCAATTAATCGGAAAATTTGATTTTATGATCGCGTGACATGATTATATGAGCGATGTTTTCAGGCTATATCGAGGAAAAGTTCCGGCCCTTACCAATAAAAGGTTCGGATTAGAGATAAGGTGTGGAAACCGATGTGAGATACAGGTCGAATCTGTTCTTATTTTTTGCGAAATTATCTGTAATTTAAACATGAGTTGCATGATTATAGAAGATCGAAACTTTTGGATGCCAGACAAACAAACTCCTTAATTTTTCGTATTCTTTCTGGAATAACGATTTCAGGATTTTCGTCGTACCATACTTCAAGGAGGGAAATTCCATTATCTTGACATATGCATCGTTTTTGCCGATCCCGATTATTGATGTCTTCGAGTTTTTTGACATCCTTATACCAGCTGATGCTATGAAACCGATGCTGTGCCCCTTGTACCTCCAATGCAATTCGATATTTTTGGAAGAAGGCATCAAGTTCTAATCCATTCAAGAAAGGAGGGTGATATTCGATCATAGGTATCTCACTAAGAATTTCCTTAGCTATCTGAATGCATCTGGTCTGGAATTTGCGATTTTTCTTAATTTCTGATTCTTTTTTAAGTTCATTGAAATACCGCTCTAGCTCTATGAATCTGGCCTTGAGTTCAGCATTCTCAATATCACGTCTTTTACTCTCTTTCACAGCCTGTCTTAGAAGCTCAGCATTCCTGAATTTAAGGCGACAAGACGCTCAGGGGCATATTTTTTCAGTCATATGATAATACTTCGTAAACTTCATCAACTACTAAACCTTGACAAATAAGTTCTCGCAATTCTGTATCTGTTACTGTCAAACTTTTGGGCTGAGTCTCATTGGCTGATGTTGAAGTTACCGATGATGTAAATTGAATATGTCTTTTATTCTTTTTATGAACTATAATCTTGACTTTAGAAGAGTGAATTTAAAATCTCAAAGAAAAAAATGAAGAGACAGACGTTATATATGGATCAGCAAATTCTTCTGAGCTGATGATCACTATTCTGATTAAGAAATTCAGAAATAAAATCATTTGTAGTATCAATCGTACCCATAAACACAGGAAGAGACGCATTATTACTATAGACATCCTTATCATCTGATTCAGTTTCAGAGCCAGAGTCAGAGCTAGAAGATTCTGAATCAGAATAGTAATCTTCATCAAAATTGATATGAATATTTGGATTTAGCTGATCCATGGCTTTCTTGTTAATATTTTCACATCCTTCCAAATTTAGAGATTTTAAATTTATTTTCAACAATATAGGTAGAGTCTATATGCAGATATCTTCAAATGATCTAAATATTTTGTAAAATTTACCAGACTTCCACAATTTACTACTGGAAAACAACTTGCTGATATAGAAAAAATAGTCAACACTATTATTTGAATTATTCTTAAAACTTATATCAGGAATATTTTTAATGCGAAGTATTATATAAGGTTTACAGTTCGTAAATTTATGGGTGTATTATGACATAAGTTTATGTAAAATTTACATTTTTGATGTAGTTCTTCATAAGATTTACAATTTGTGCCATTTACACTATATTATAGTCAAAATACTTCGAATAATTTACAATCTAGAAAGTTTGTGTAATACTACAGTTAAAATACTTCAAAAGGTTTATAGTCTATAAAGTTTGCATAATACTATAATCGAAATACTTCGAAAGATTTATGATCTATAAAGTTTGCGTGATATTACGGTCAACAAACTTCAAAATATTTACAGTTTATAATATTTGCGTAATACTACAGTTAAAATACTTATGATCTATAAAGTTTGTATGATATGACAGTCAAAGTATTTCGAAATGTTTATGGTCTATAATATTTGCATAATACTACAATCACAAGATTATGGTATATAATTATTAAACCATTAAATTTTGGATTTATTTAAGAAAATTTTAAGCATTGAAAAAAAATTTTAATTATAACTACCAGATTCAAGTTTATTAAGCAATAATAATATAAAATAAATATTAGTCTATAGACTTTCTTTTTTTTATTTTGATGGTGATGATGACCTTGAAGAAGAAGATACCGTAAAACTATTTTCTGTATTACTACTTGGGAGCTTGTTTCATATACCTGTATTATCAATAATATTTCAATATCAACATAAATTAATTCATATGACCTATCATTATAACTAGCAATAAATATAATATTTGGTCATTTTCCAACTCCTCTTCAATCTTTACTGGACATACTTTAATGTTAAACTATAGAAATATAATTAGGTTTTCTGATCGAAAGATCTTTTAATGATGCTTGATTATTATATTAGCTATATATATTCCTTTACTTTGAAACTCAACAAACTTTGAACTAAAAGTGGGATTTTACCAAATCCTTTGAACATAATTTTTTTTCACCACTTCAATCATCTGATGCATTATTTTTTTCAGCTCATTTTTGAATATTATGTACCATTATCTAAAAGTTAAAAAATAACAGAAACGCTATAATATGTTCTGGAGATGAGCTGCGATAGCGGTTATTATTAAATTTTCTTAGTAAAACTGAGACTGCAGAGTTATTTTACTAAGTTTAATAATAAAAATTCACCTGTTACTAAACTTACTTTGTAAAAGCTATTGTTACGTCAGTTCTTTAAAACGCTCAACTTAAATAAGCGTTATGTTTACGTGTGCAGAAGGTTTCCTTCGTAAAGAAGATAGAGAACTTAATTATAATTTTATAAGTGTAAAGAAAATATAATAATTCACGTAGAATAAATGATTAACAAACAAAATTATAGTACTGCCTCTGTCGGCGCGTCTGTACTAAACAGTTTATTTATTA